TATCATGTTGCTTTAAAGGATCAAGATTTTTTCTATTGCCTCTTTGTTTTCCAGAATGATTGCACCTGAGGTAAACACCATATTCTCTTGAGGATTCAATGCTTGCACTGAATCCTTGCTCATATGCATATTTTTTAACATCTGCTATTGCATTATCCAATGAATCCCAACGTTTTGACAAAGATAATTCTATTGCACCAATTCTTTCAGAAATATCTTGATTTGTTTCAAACCAGCCATTATCCATTGACATATGTTCATAACCATCAACTTCCATTGAATAATTATCAATTTTTATGGTTTCACATTCATTAATCTCTATTTTTTCATGTTCATTAATTTCTATTTTTTCATGCTCATCAATTTCTATTTTTTCATGCTCGTCAATTTCTATTGTTTTGCATTCATCATCAATCTCTGTTGAATATGATTGCAATGATGGAAATTTACTTTCAATTAAAGCTCCAATATTTGATGGGAAATCAAATCCTTCTAAATTATAATTTAGAATTAGACTCAAGTATCTAAGTCTAAAATAAGTGGATATTTTTCTATCCCATGATTTATTACTTATCCCAATTTCTTTTTCAATATAATTTAAGATCGTTATTCCACAATCTAAAGTTCCACATTGATAAGGAATTTCACCAATATAATAAACTTCATCTTCAAAAGAGATCCCATAAAGTTCAAATAATCTGTTAATATTGGTTATTAAATCAATTGGAGCTTGATAATATAAAGAATCACCGAAATAAATTTTCTTGGTATCTAAATCTAGTTTTACAACTCCCCAATGATTATTATTTATGTGTATAATTATATATATATTTTTAATTTTTTCTGATAAATGACCTAATAAATTATACGCAATATCAAATTTTCCATCATTTATATGAGTGTACAAATATATTGGAGCCAAAATAAAATTATTATTTTTGTTGTCATCATCTTTGAATGCTTTAAATATTCTAAGTACTGATTCAATAACCATATCATTTACATAATTCTGATTTGCCAAGGTACATAAATCTAAAATAGTTACGTTTAAATTCTTTCTTAAATTATTATATAATCTATTAGTATTTAATAATTTTTCTTTCAATTTGTTTGACCTCTTCAATTTACTATCAACCCAATTGATTAAATTTATGAAATTAGTTTGAAACAACATTGCTGTATGCAAGTTTATTATTTTGTTTAAATCACAGAATTTGGCTATTCCAAAAGAAGGTATTTTAATAAACATTTGATTTCTTTTTTGTTCTTTTTTTTCATCTTTTCCAATGTAGTCATTTATTTGATCAATTATTTTTCTAATGTATCCCAAAGGTGGAATTGCCAAGTCATTTTTAACTATCTCCTTTATTGTTGATTCTTTCCCAGGGTTGTTTTCAAAAATTTTAAACTTCATGGATGATGGAACAAGTCTTATTTTTGGGAAATTTATTTTAATGAATTGTTTCGCATAAATAGAATTAATTAAATTATAACAATTTTCATAATAATTTTCAAACCTAAATATAATAATAATATTAGTAAAAAGTAGTTGTAATAGCAAATAATTCACATCAAATATTATTTACTTACAAATCATTGTCAACTAATGTAATTCTTTCATCATCTTCTTCTTTGATGATAATTGCATTCTTGAAAGAAACAATTTGATTTTCAGTATTCATATTTTAATTCTGATTGAATATTTTTGATATAAGAGAGAGAAAAAAAAGACAATTTTTAAATAAAGAATTGATTTTTTGATAGAAAAGAAGAAAAAATTGATTTTTAAATAGAGAATTCCGATTGAAGAAAAAAGATGATTTTAATAGAAAATTAATTCTGATTGAATATTTTGATAGAAGAGAAATAAAAAAAGATAATTTTTAAATAAAGAATTGATGTTTTTGATAGAAAAGAAGAAAAAATTGATTTTTAAATAGAGAATTCCGATTTGAAGAAAAAGATGATTTTTAAATAGAGAATTAATTCCGATTGAATATTTTGATAGAAGAAAAAGAAAAAAAGATAATTTTTAATAAAGAATTGATGTTTTTGATAGAAAAGAAGAAAAAATTGATTTTTAAATAG